ATCGTTCTTGTATGAAATTGGTTCCAAACGTAAACAAACCTTGTAGGTTTCTTATGGCTTGTTTACGTTTGGAACCAGTTATGCGAGGTAGGCGACGATTGTTCGTATTTGACAGCTACCTCCCCCCCCCCTTGGAAATATCGCGATCTGTTTTAACGCTACCGGCAACAAACAAAGGGAAGCAAGAGCACACCAGGCACCTAAGCAACAGGGGGGGGGGGGAACATCAGCAAAAACCTTTCAAAGTCAAATTATCGCGCCAGGGACAAAACTAATAAGTTATAATAATGTAGGAAGCATACCTAACAAAAATTTGGAACAGCATACCATCCTCAGACTATTGGATCATTGAAAATAAATCACAGATGTTTAAATGAATATTCGAGATCTTTTATCAATGAACATCATTCTGATTGGGATTGGCCTACATTTTACTCTTTTAGTTACAACACAGCACCTCATACAGAACATGACTTTACACCTCAATTTACCACAATTTAAACTGCAAAAATCAGATGAAATTGCAAGACAAAGATTAATTGAAGTTATACTGGATAGATCACTCAATTCAGAAATCGGCATTAATCCAGTAATTCTAAACCAAAATGATCCTATTGGTTGGTTTCTTTAGTTAACCGACTTTAACTTTTACTTTTAGGGTATTTTTGTTTGAAAAGCAATCCAGTTTTATTTTTTTTATCATAGTCACTTTAACGCTCTGGGTCATTCGTGACTTGTCCGGAGGTGAGATTTGAACTCGTGACTTTGGCGTGAGAGGTATGCATGCTAACCACTACGCCGGGGTCACCCCCGTTTCATAAAGGGTGTCTTACATCAAATTGCATCACGGAAAAAAACGCTCTATAAAATTACCTAGTTGACCGATCCTTTTCAAACTTTCAGACAATAAAATATAACCCACTAGTAAGCTTTTGGCATATTTGTTTCATTCAACATCAATACTATCACCGTACGCTTAACTCAACTCATTAGGTTCTGTAAAACATCTGGCTGCAGCTTCTTCTGTACGGAAACCAACTTTTTCTTCATGTCTTCCTCCTTGGGATGCTTCCGTAGTCCCTACTTCATAATAGCCCAGCATTTTTCGATGCCAACGGGGTCTTCGTACCACTCCAGGACAAAATTTGAATAGTGGCACGAAGCTAGATCCGGCCAGAAGATCGTAGGGCCCTCGTATTGCTTCAATAGAGGAAGCAGACGCTTCTGTAGAAACTCCTTGAGGTAGATCTCGCCGTTTACAGTCCCGGTAGTCACGAACGGCGCACTCCGTTTGCCACATGAGCAGATCGCTTGCCAAATTATGTATTTCTTGGCAAACTTTTAAAGTTTCTGCTTCCTTACTTCCTGCGGAACATCAAACTTGTGCTGGGCGGTAATGAACAGTAGCCCCGGAAGCTGCCGGAAGTCCGCCATGACGTAAGTCTCATCATCCATGATGAGACAATGAGGCTTCGTCAGCATCTGGGTGTACAGTTTCCGGGGCCGTGACTTTCCCACCGTATTTTGCCGTTCGTCACGATTTGGACCCTTCTGCACTTTGTACCCTTCCTCCCGGTCCTTGGCTCTCTGAATGACAGACTTGGACAGATTTAACTTTTTGGCCACATCCCTGACCGAAGCATTGGGATTCCGCTTAAACGCTTTCACGACACGCTTGTGATCCTGATCACTAATAGAACATCCATTCTGACCGCATTTCTCCTTCCGGTCGATGCTCAGAGTTTCGTAGTAACATTTAATCACACGACTCACCGTTGACTGCACGATTCCGGAATGTTTTCCGATGTCCCGATGAGAGAGTTGAGGATTTTCCAGGTGCTTGCGCAAAATCAATTCGCTACGTTGCTTTTCGGGTGACGCAATTTTTCCAACTTTCGAAAAGCTGACAGCGATAAAAATACAGTGTAAACAATACACTCTAAACTACTTTTACCCAAATTTTCAAGAGAAAATACCTAATGGGTAATTTTCTACAGCGTTTTTTCCATGATTCAATTTGATGTAGGACACCCTTTATTTGTCTCAGATGTCATTTCGATAAGATAAGCCGTTTTTGAAAAATTGGGCGAAAGTAAAAATGGATGAATTCGAGCAACAACTTGGTTCAATGCCCCTAACAAATAGTTATGTGAAGTTTCATGGCATTCTAATGGTGGTAAGCTCCAACCGGTATTATCCTCGGATTAAATCCCGATCAAGAATGTCCGACTGCTTTGATGTTGACGTCAGAGTTAATCAACACTACTTTATGCAAACATTTTGTAGATCATCCAAACAGGGACGGTATTAAAAGTTAATCAGAGTTGGAGCTTACCGCCATAAGAGATATTATCTTAAATACGCTAGGGGAAATGTCTCTAATGTTGGCCTATGGATCTAATATTGGGCCCATGGCTAAAACTCTGATATTTATCAATTTTATCTAGATGAAAGCGTTATTGGGGCGTTACTAATGGATATATTTGGTTGCTATTGAAAATTTAGTCGATTGCTGAATTTATGTATGGGCCCAAATTAGGGACACTTAGGCCGACGTTACCTGCATTTCCCCTATTTGGCGACTTTAACACTCTTGGGTAATTTGTGACTTGTCCGGGGATGAGATTTGAAGATAGTGAAGCGATCGATGCCTGCGTCGGAGGTGTTGGGTTTTTAATCGTTCTATGATGGTGTTGGTGATCAGATGCACTGAAGAGTCTGCGCATTCTGCTGTGAATCCTGCGGTTTGCTTCCAATACAGGAACGCAGGTGAAAGAGTGATGAATGGTCTTAATGCTTCGGTGTGAAAAGAAAATGCGTGCTGAAAAGTACTGGCAAGGATGGTGCATGAAACAGCTTCGAAAACATGGAAATACAGGATAATTGCAGATAGTTTTGGTGAGATCTTTTCTTTTGGATTTGTTTAATTTTGTTTACATTTTCACATAGTCTTTACTTTATATTGCCGAATAGAGATTCCTAAATATATTCCATTTCCTACTAACACAAATGTTTCCTCCCGTGGCATCTATCAAGGTAGTATGGGTTCCCTGCACCTTCTTAAGTAGATGTTGGACTAATTTTCCTTCCTATCCCCTGCGATTGTAAGGATGTGGCCAGGTGTATAATGCGATGCTTGATTTGCAGTTTTTGATGTATGGGAAAAACCACTAGTCCCAAGTGTTTTTTTCACGGCAACACACGATAGTTCCTGCAAAATGTATTGATTGACCATTATATTGCCCCCACGATTTGTGCAATCGCTTATGCTATGCTATGCTATGCTATGTCCGGGATGAGATTTGAACTCGTGACTTTGCCGTGAAAGGACTGGATGCTAGCCAATACTCCGGGGCTGTCCTCACCGGTCATGGAGTGATTTGGTGAGTTCATTCTATTTAGAAATATCCTTCTACAGTGTATAGGAAATTTTTCAGTGTAACTGTAATTAAATTATACGAAAAAAAAAACAGTGGTGCCACTGGACAATTTAAATAAATCAAACATATAAGATAGTAACACCTATTCTGAGACAGCTTGTTCTATATATGCGCGGTTTGTATAATCTTCTCACACGACGAAAATGAGCTATGATATTGATAATTGACCACCCCTATTCTTATACTCTTTTGTATCATGTGTATTCCTCTTAAAAATAAAAAAAAACCGGGTTTCATAACAATCAACAAGAAGAGGACAGACCCATAGTTCGGTAGACCTAGCACCGTAACGCTATCTTGAGAGGTGATCTACCCGTGTTACAAGGCTGATAAAAGGAATACAGACCGGCTGTATTAATTTTATTCTGGCGATATATAGAACAAAGAAAGCGAAGCATGAGCTCAACTAACTTTACAAATATAGAAAGTGGCTGGGATTGAAACCACGATTTTGGCAAGGTATTCTAGCAAATTCAACAATGTTGCCGATATTTACCGAAAAGTACTATTGACTCATTTGTGGCTCTGTAAAACGTGCTTTACACCCTAAGTGTGTTTTTGAAACCTGTTCGAAAACGAATTGAGTCGTTTGAAAATTATTCTTTGCTGCCATGTAATGTTTTTGTTGGATATATATGGATAACTAAATATAGGGTCAGCGTATTCCAACTATGGCCAATGGAATTCCCAGAGGGCATAACTGGAACATCTACCTTAGTTGAGACATGCAAAAATCTTCTTATGATACAGATAGAGTAATTAGATTTTTCCTACCCTACGAGTAAGCCTAACTTCAATCGCCAATGCATGCAGCGAGTTCTAACCGGTTTTCGACGCATAGTGCATTGCTGCTCCAAGCTTCACAGCATAATTATTTCTTGAACGGTAAATCTTAATATTCTTACCCTTTTTAGCTCCCATTTCGTTATTCTCGACCAGAGCATATGAAACGCATAAACTCCCACGACCTCGTATCGAGCTAGGAAGGTAGAATCACGTTCCCGGCAAAGGTGCACATCAACTACCGGCCACAATGTGTGAGTGAAAGAGAGAGAGGCTGGCACGTGCAAACCGGTGCAGCGTGTGACTGATTCTACGTTCGTTAATCTTATGAAATACCTGTATGAACTGAAACTGAAGCTAGAATATCGACAACTACTTAAACGATCGCACGAACATACGCCGAAGCCCAAACACCTGGAATATCCATTCTCAGTGGTGTAGTTATCAACTTCAAATGTCATTTTATCATTTTGATAAGACATTTTTCGATAGGTTCAATTTCCAGCAACCAGCACTTCCAAAGAACTTCAACCCTGTCCAAAGGTTACTAGACGAATGCGTATCTAACTCAACCCGAACTCCCGAGCCCGTCAATTATTGCTCACCTTCGGCTCAGCTCTACTCTTGGTGGTAGTAGGCAGGCGTTAAGCGTCGTCGTGCGTCGGTCGTAGTAACCTCCACGTTTTGTACGAGAAGAAAAAGTCACACACTAAGTAGCCACAGAAGGGAAAAAAGACCTCCGAAAGAGTTTGTGACCACATTGAACAGTAATTGATCGACCACAGAGCTGGTTTGTCGTGCTTTTTCCCGTGACTGGCTGGTGTGTTCGAACGCGCGCAATTCCAAACGAAGTAATCATGTGTCGAGCCTTTTCGATTCTAGTTTTGGCCATCGTGGCTGCGAGTGTAGCTCCGCTAAAAGCTGACCAAGTAAGTAAATATTTAACACCCAACTTCGACCGGTTACAAAAGTGTCAAATAAATAAAATCTTTGTGTTGTGGTGAGCGCACACGTAAAGAACGCCACACGTCTTGTATTGTCCATTGAATATCAATTAGTTCTGAATATGGTTCCGTTCTGCTCTGACTTTGCAGCTAAAAGTGACACTGTTCTACGAGCACCTGTGCCCGGACAGTATCCGTTGGGTGACCAACGAGCTTATCCCGAGCTACAACGACCTGAGAGACCATATCGACATCGAGTTCATTCCATTCGGAAAGGCCAGGGTAAGTTGGTGGCGCTGACTGTCTCCGGCTATGGCTGTAGGCAATGTGCATTCCATCCGTTGTGCTGCTGCAGTCTGCTGGGCTGGTTGACCTTGAGGATGTTAATTTATTAGTCCGAAAACTTGTAGGTGCGAAATGTCGGCCAAAGCAATCGTGAAGGGCAGTGTGTTTAGTTTGCTAATATTTGTATGGCATTGAATGGGTTCTTTAATTCTGGCAATTTTTACATCATTTGAAAGAGCTTCGTTTTCTATGCTCAACGGTATATTGTTTGATCCCTTAGACTTTCATCTTTTTGATGCTAAACTAACACACTGACAGCTCGCTAATGTAATTGCACTTGTTTAAAATAATTTCAAAGTACCCAAATTGGGTTGTGTAGGGGTATTGACATAAATGCATATTCATAATCTGCATTAAAAATGGAACCGAAATCCAAAATTTCATCAAATTTGGTGCACTGGAACTATTTTAAATAAGTACGATTACATTAGAAAAAAACTTCTCATAACTTGACAATTGTTACAGCTAAAAAAAAACACTAACGCAGCATAGTTTGACAGAATATGATGTTAAATAGCTTGAACATACTTGATGCATTTGCAGTCGCACTATTTGCTACATTTTTTCTTTTTTTTCTTTTAACTTTATTATAGAGATTTTTAGCTAGTTAATCTCATCTATTTGCTACATAGAAAATCGATGAAGAGGATTGATCAAGTTTTATTCTCGTGTCACGCGAAATCTCATAGTTCTTCTTTTTAAAAAGTTCCCAAGCATTATTTGGTACACTCTCAGGGGCAGTTCCATGCCAAATGCCGAACCGATGAGACTCGACCTTCTAAATTTTAAATTTATTTATTTTTTTATCTCCAAGAATTTTGAAATGAGAAAACTAAAATTCAAACTTCACTCAGTTTTCAATACCATGCGCTCTTCTTAGGCTTTCACTTTTAAAACTGAGGAAAACACATTTTGTTCATCTTTCACACTTAGATTATTTTACCGAAATCTGTGAAATTTTACCGAAATCTCAACAGCTGAACGTTCGGTAAACAGTTCGGTGATTTTTCACAGATTTCCTGTAATTTTTCACAGATATTTGGTGAAAAATTACAGGAAATCTGTGAAAAATCACCGAACTGTTTACCGAACGTTCAGCTGTTGAGATTTCGGTAGAATTTCACAGATTTCGGTGAAATAATCTCAGTGTGTTGAGAAACTTTTTGGCTTAATTGAATCCGTTGATGCGATGAGTCAAGGAATGCATGGTTTTTATATCAGTGTTCCAGCAAGCGTCACTGGACTAACTGGCTAGGTACGTGCCTTTGGATCCCAGAGTCATTGGTTCCAATCCCGGTTGTAACTTTTCTTTCTTTGTCTTGTGCTACTTTTCTACTTCATTCCCACGCTGAGCTAATTCAGAGGCTTATCATTGAGGAAGTAACTTCTATCTAAGTGCACCACTCTTTATCCGTTTCATTTTGTGTTTGCCTCAATGTGATCGTGTTTTCATAAAGCTGTGCAATCGTTCTCCTAAATGTGATAAGCTGTAAAGTTTGCTCTTTGCGCTCAATGTGTGAAGAAATAACAAGCATGCCTGTAGGAAATCATTGCATTCCTTAGGAACTCTTTTCAGCGTTCTTTAGATTCCCTTTAGCATTCCATAAATATGCTCAGGAAATTTTTCTTAAAACTCCATTGGAATACTCCCAAAAGTCCCATGCTATTGTCCTTAGAATTCCCTTGTAATCTTTCTCGCAATTTCATTAAAACTATCCTCAGATCCGTAGTTTGCCTTAGAGATTCAAATTCCTTTTGAATTTATATCAAAACTCGCATTGAGTTCTTGGCAGGATGAAATTTAGTCAAAATTTCCATGAAATTATTATTAAGACTTATTTTCAGAATTTACCTTTGAATTGTATCCAAAATTATGTTGGAATTCCCCTCACAATCAATTTGGAATTCTCCTTAGAAATTAAGAGTCTGAGCTAACTTAGTATTTTATCATTAACTACTACTTATATGGACTAGGAATTCTCCTAAGCATTCCCTATGCTATCTCTGAGACTGTCAGATTCAGATTCCCTTGGAGTTTTTATCACATTCCTCTTGGACTTTATTTCAGAACTTCTTTGGAGTTCTATTCACAATTTTCTTGGAATTGCTATTAAATTTCTTACTTGAAGGAACTTAAAACGGGGTGAAGTTGATCGTTACACCGTTTAATTTTCGTTTCTAAACAATATTTTTAGTAGGTAATTTGTTCAGTATTTTATTAAATAGACTTAAACAGTACTTTTTCAAAGTTTTTCCGAAAAAAAAAGATGCATTCTACAAAACTAATCCAGTCAGTAAGGTTTTACTGGGTTTTTCAATTGCGGAGCTGTTCGGTAAAAGATTAAAAATCTGTGTAAAATACAAAAATTATAAAATTTATTTCAAACTAGTACAGGCTTAGTTCTGTTAACCCCATTTAATGATAGAAAATAAAATTAGTAGATTTCATTTATTCCTTACGGATAACGGTCATTTGAATTTTTACCGACTTTTTCAGCAATTCAAAAACCCAGTAAAAAATACTGTTTCCTGTAAAATAATCTAAGTGTGTAAGCTCCATCGACGATAATTCGAGATTTAATCCATATTTTCATAAATCTAGATTAAATTGAAATACCCCATTCGGTAAGCCCCAAGAGAGGATAAACATTCTCTCTCGTATTGTAGAGAATGTTAAGGTGTGGGCAAATTCAATTCAATTAAGTATATTATTAAGCTATGGAAAATAGGAGCTATGGGGTAATATGAAGAATATTACCACCGACAAACCGACATGAATGATCATACAAATTACAAAGAAATTTCTGATCAAAGCACAAAACTGACATCTGCCGCCGGGTTCGCGAAAAATAGTTATCCTAGCCACGAACACGCGTACAAAATTTATGAGTTGGTTCGTGTCTAATCTATTCCGGACAAATTATTTTTATCTATATAAAACCTTTCTATGGTTTTGACAGATGGGATCGCTGCACATTTGAATCAGCCGTTATGGATTCTCGATCAAGAGTTAAGTTTAAGTTTCATGTCGGATTGTCGGTGATATTACCATAGAGCTAACTCTAAGATCATAAGGTCCCGAAGAAACGTGCTCAACTTTTTGGCTCAGCTCTGGTACTCTTTTCAGTCCCAAGCTAAATAAAACCCCTCGAAACATAGGAAAATCCCTGAACCCCTCATTTTATCTGTCAAACTTTCATAGCGAATCAAAACAAACATAGTATTGTACTAGAATGTCGACTAGAATGGGGTACGTTAATCGATTTGCTTGGGACCAATAGGGTAGTTATGTAGTGAGCCAAATTGAAATCGTTAGTTTCCACCGGTTGATATTACCCCATAGCTCTTATTTTCCATAGCTTCTATATTCATCAAATTTCCTCTGCATACCGAGTAGCAAAACCTACTTCCTTAATAAGCTCAATCGTTCAATCCAGTTTCCATTACGTCTATCATATTTTCTAGCTTCTCATTATTCACCAATCTGCAATAAGCTGATAATTGGACAAATTTAATTGAAGTTATAGAAAACTCTAATGAGCTTAAAAAACTTCCAATACCTTCAGTAGTGTTCTCTAAATTACACTAAACATCCCAACACAGTTCTGCATAACTCCATCATAGAAGTTCGGCAGAGAGAAGTGCTGCGAATTTCAGCTAAGCTCTGTTACCCTAAGAAAAGTCATACGCGTTCTGATGAATTGGTCTTAAAACATTTCGAGTACTCTTAGCAATTTCCTGAAAACTTCATAGAGGCTATGCATAGGGCAAAGATTTAAATTTATGACCTAATCTGCGTGGTATGTTCTATAATTCACAAAACAACTCTCAAGTGCGCTGAACTTCGTTAGAGTTTACAATGCTTTCTTGAAGATTGTAGAATTACTCCGGAGGAGCTTTAAAGAGTTCCTGATCTGATACCTTCAGGAGAAATTCTCCGAACTTCATGGGAAATTCTCTGAACAGGCGAAATTCTCTGAACTTCAGGCGAAATTCTCTGAACTTAAAGAGAAGTTCACAGAAGCTCTCCAACGAAAAGTTCACAGACCGCATGATTTCCGAAAAGAATCACAGAACTTCCGACGAAAAGTTTACAGATCTTTGAAGTTCAAATTACTTAAAAATCCCTAAGGTTCACAGAACTTCCTTGAAGTTCACAATCAAACTTCCGGTGAGAAATTCCGAAAAAAAAAAACGTTCAGAAAAGTTCCAAGGAAAACTTAACAAAATTTCCGACTAGAAGTACAGAGAATTTCCGACGAGAAATCCAAAAAATATCCAAGGAGAGGTACAGAGAACTTCCGATGAGCAATTCTGACAACTTCCTACTACAAATTCACAGTACTTCTGTCGAGATGATCATAGTACGTCCGACGAGAAGTTTACCCAGAAGAGTACCATAAGCAGAAGCATAATCCATCCCGAATAGGCAACAATTCAGTGCCAACATTTCAAAGGGGCGTAATTGCTTTTGTAAACAAAGGCTTTAGCTGTCGATTTCTCGCAAATAAAAGCTCACTCCTCCAAATTAACAATGCTAGCTAGAAGAAGAAACATTCCTCTACCTGTTGGTGCAATCAATTTTCATGAATGAGCTTTTATTTGCGAGAAATCAACGGCTAAAGCCATTGTTTACAAATGCAGATACGCCCCTTTGAAATGTTGGCACTGAATTATTGCCGACACTTTCAATCACTTGCTGCTTCCTCCCGAATAAAATGCGTAGAACTTTTCCGAATTTATTTACTACAGCCGATCGGATGGTCCAGGAAGATGATGAAGATGATAAAAATTAAGCGCCCGTGGAAGGACGTTCCGATTGGGACCAAGCCGTAACATACTTTCTGGTAGCTGCAGCGAATCGGATTTCACAAACATAAACAGAAAAATGACATTTAATACTCGTGCATATGTGTGCGTGTGTGTGTGTGTGTGTGAGCGATAATAGTAGATTTTGTTTTGGCAGCGTTCTTTTTGAAAATCCGAGATTTTCTCTAATACGCCGATATCGGCGTATTAAAGTTATATCCGAGATTAAAATTAAGGGTAATACGGCATGGTGCTTAGCAAAATCGAGGATAATTCGAGATTGGCCTATTATCCTCGATGGAGCTTACTGCTATAAATATACAATTTTATGGAAGTGATGGAATATGCAACTTTGAATTGTTCCTCCTGTCTAGGGTTCCCATATAAAAAACTTGAAAAGGAGGACATTTCATTTGAGGTTTGGAGATTAGGGAGGACAATGATTCCTTTTCTTAACATTAAAGGAGGACAATGAGTTTTTATCAAACGTGCGCTATCACAAAATTCAAGATTTGCAAAGGTTCAATTGAGATTGTCATAACTTGTAGTCGTTACCAACTCAGTTAATCTTCTTGTTATACTTCTGAAAAATGCATCAAACTAGCCTTCATAATTCATTTTTGATACTTGGAAATGATCTAGTCTAGCTGATTTGGTAGAAAACTACAGCTTTACAGTCTTAAACCCATCCCAACTTTTACCATGTACATAATCAAATTAAATCATTCGATGAATTTTCACTGACACTTCGAAAATAAATTATAATGTTCCGATTTTCGATAAATTGTTTGTCAAAATTGATTCCTGGTTTGTCTGAATTATGTCAGGTTTATTTGAAAATTTTCCATATGTCAAATTTAAGTTAAAATTCATCAAATGGACCGCAGTCTAAATGTAGCGGGGTTGACGGCTGTAGTTTACCCCTAGTCCCACCATCGAATGACATTTGCTAGATAAGATGAGGTTGTGACATAATTAAACAAATAATCTCTGCAAACAACGCTCTTTGAAAATAATTTTATAAATCTGTTACTGAAAAAATGAAAGGATTAAAAAGGAGGACATTTTTGGGCAAAAGGAGGATGCAGAAAAATTATTGAAAAAGGAGGATATGTCCTCCTTTAAGATACCATATGGTAACCCTACTCCTGTCTGCCTGACCCTTATAGACTCGGAAACTGCTGAACCGATCGGCGTGAAAATTTGTATGCAGGGGTTTTTGGGGCCGGGAAAGGTTCTTATGAAGGTTCGAGACACCTCCCTCCCATACAAATGGAACAGAAAAATATAGCATGCTTTTTAGAATCGCAAATTTCGCTTTTTAAGCTAAATTTAATTCTATAAAATCAACCATGCTTGCAATTTATCAATTAATTTCATACATTGGAAACGCATTTTCTTGTACAGGTTTGAGGCGTATTTGTATGTGTACCCAACATATGTTTTAACAAATATTCTGGTTAATCTTCAAAAAGTGATCAATTTCTCCTTGTTTTACGGTACCCTCTTAATTCTGTTGGAATTATCCTAAGTGTTGAAGTTCACCTCAGAAATTCTATTGAAATACCCATGGGCTTCACTTTGCAATCCCCACAATATTCTGCTCATGACCAGCTCCAGGACAAACAGCAAAAAAAAACAGAATTTTTTATTCAACCGTCTCCGACTTGCTCGCATCCAAATAAACTCAAATTTAGGGAAGATTATCCAGTAGAGCAGTTCCACGCCAAATGAATAATCGTAAAAAATCGACCTTCTCCGATTTGCATAAAACTTTGCATAATTGTGTGTTATATTTTTGCTAAAATTCGGCCGTTTTGAATCTTGTAAAGTTTTTCAACAATTATTTGATATTTTTAATAAATTGTAGCACGAAAAAATAATAAAAGTGTTTCTGAGACAAATATAAACTTATTTTTTTTGTTATTTAGAGTGAGTTTTTAAACAAAGTGTCAAATACTCTAATATCTCAAACTATCCTTGTTCAATATGTATTTTTTTTTTAAATAAAGCTCATTCATGAAGAATTCAAACTTTTGAATATTTAAAACTATGGACACTTATTTGTTTGTTTATTAATTTATTTGATAAGGCTCAACCGAATTAACTTTACAGAGCCGAAAATTCTTGTTCACTATATAATACATCTTAAAACTATAGTCAAAAGGTACAACACAATAAACATTTTATGTTCCGCTATCCAATAAGCCTCCTCCACCAGAACGGGAGCCGCTTCCAGTGGTTTCATTGTATGGAAGATTCGCCAACAGGGGTCAGAGCACTTCCATTGCAGCAATGGATGCAAAACGTGGTCAGCACTCACACACTCATCACGAAACGGTAGCTTTTCAAAGTCGACGACGCATCGACCGAATGAACTGCTGATGAAGAACAATGAGGAGGACCACACAATGGTTACTGCCGAGTAAACAGACGATCGCGTGACACACATCGAGAGTGGCCTGCTTTTGTCGACAGCCGAGTGAACACTCCAATGCGGCCCAAGTGAAATCAAACTGTTTGTATCTGATGAGCGCAGATCATTTTTCATAGCACATCCGTAGGTGGCATATTTTTCAAACGTTTGTTTTCGAGTTTGTTATATTTTAATTCCACAAATAAGATGGCTGATTTGATCTGGAATACAGAATATATCTCATGTTGTATGCTTGCAGAGAAATTTTGTTCATATACTCTGCCAATGACATCAATCCAAATTTGAGTTCAGTTTTCTCATAAGCGCAAAAAGTGCAGGAACTCAGTGATAAGTATATTTGTCTCATGTTTTTCTGTGGAAAACCTGAAAAATCTGCCGGAAAATGAAGGAAATTGACGAACATTTTACGCAGTATAGGAGTAGTATCAATAGACTGAGAGAATTCAATCTTTACTCTTCTCATGTTCCGGAATTTTTTCCTGGAAAAACTTGGAGAAACCTGAACACATGAGGGAAATTTACTCATCGCCGAGGCGGTTTTTGGAGCTTGTTACTCATTTAGTAACCAAAAGTTATCACCATGGCAGGCCTGTTCAAGAATATCAATATCAAGAAACCAAAAAATCAAGCAACTAGGAATCAAATTAATCAGAACATTCGGAATCAAGAAATTTTGGAATAAAGACAATCAAGAATCACGAAAACCCAGAGTCAAGAAAAGCAGGAATCATGACAATCAGAGAATCAGTGAATGCGGAATCAAGATGATCCAAAGTCCTGAAAACGTATAATCTAGAATATCATCAAAAAATGCCTGTGAGTTTAATTGAGAAATGTTTTTGGAGCTGTGGAACACTTTAAATGGACACAATGTATATATGGGGCCAATATTAGAGACATTTATGCCTACATTAGGGACATTAACCCTATACGTACGCTAGTGATTCTGTGGCAAGCAAAATGATACTCAATAACCTGGAAAGTCAAACAAATTGCCGACCCGAATGATTTTCTACACCGGACCGGGAATCAAACCATGTCCGTACATTGCCCGTTGGTGTCATGTAACACTGAACCCTTTATCTACCGACGATAAGGAAAGTGGCATTTGTTAATCTTATCGTTATATTGCCAAATGTTCACGTATAAATGTTATAAATATTATCAGTTCAAAATTGACAAATGATATTGAAGTGACAACTCACCACGGAATTTCCTTAATTACCTTCTTGTTTTACTCTCTCTCTCTCTCTCTTCTGCAGAGCATCAACGGAGGAGAGTCCTTCGAGTGCCAACATGGACCCCTGGAATGCGAAGGAAACATGGTCCAATCGTGTGCGCTGAGTAAACTGCCCGAACAGGATCGTCAGGTTTCGTACGTTGGCTGCCAGATGAACTTCGATGCTGACCCACGAGGATGGGAGGTAAGCCAAGTCTTCGTTTATTGTGCAGGTCATAAAGCAATCTGAGTGACACTGCATATTTCTCGTATCAGGACGGATTAGCAGTTATCGTAATTTGGGTGCTATAATTCACCAATTCAAACAAGTTGCAGGATGGACACTGTTTTATCAATTTATTTCTTTGTTTGATCTATTCCCGCTAGTGTGTCTTCCGTTCCGGCGTGGACCTCGTGTCGACTCAATCCTGTGTCGAGAGTGTGCAGGGAATTCAATTGCAGCTGGAAGCCGAACGTCGCACCCAACAGATTCCGTTGAGCTTCGTTCCGACCATTGTGTTCAATGATGTAGGTTTTCTGATTTAGGATTTATTTGAGTCGAATTAATAATTTTTCAATTTAAATTGTAGCAATTCGACCAACAACTCACGGATTCCGCGTACCGCGATTTCAAGGGAACCGTATGTCAAGTTCTGAATAATGCCATCGCCGCTTGCAACTAAGTCGTGAGATAATAGCATCACTGGCTTCTTAGTCCGGGTGGTAGACTGACGCACCTATTGGGTCATTTGTTGTATCTTCCGTGTTTATATATATTGACAGGGCAACAGTTGGCAGCGGTCTGCGTTTAGACAGTTGAAAACTACGTTTTACAAAACATGTATATATTTTGATGCGATAGCAAAAGATAGTTTTATAGCTTTGACCACAAGTGAGTGTGTTTATTATCCAACAGAAAGAATTGAGCCATTCCACTGAATCATGATTAATAGTAATTTATATGTCTGTATTGCAAAATTAATCTATTTGCTGCTAAGATTAAATATTGGTAGGTAAAGATAGAAGTTTCAAATGAACAATGCCTCCAAGATGAGTCATAGTTCAAGAACAACACGTGAAAAGGGCATACAAACTTTTTATAAACAAACCTTCTTATGCCCTTTTCTGGCCACCCACATGACACCGACGCAAACCATCAACATAACCGGATAGGAGAAGTTTTACTCTTCCCGATGACGTTATTGGTTTGCGTAAACGACCCTCGGTTGGCGAAAAAAGGGCATACAAAGGTTTGTTTACAAATAGCTTGTGTGATAATTGGTAAGATCATAAATACACAGACTGACTTGACTCAACAATCAAGCCCCCACAGGTTCTATATTTGTCCACTTCTCCGCATCCTCACTCTCTAACATCAATGGTCACAGATATCGAACAGACCCATCATCACAGCTCCCCCTTTTTAGACCATTTAATAATCTATGAAACACTCATTAAAGCGACTTGGCATTCTGATGGTGCGACAGATCTGACACGATAATTCGAACCGCCGGTAAATGACTGCATAACATCTGTTGCTCCCGCTGGTGGCTGCGATACGTTCTCTGGTGGGTTTTTCGGTGCCTTTGAGTTATCTGGCATCGACGGCTCCTGAATGGTCAGTGTACAACTTTTATCAGATACGCTATCTTCTGGAAGATATACTTTCTTCAGGTGGCTGAGTTTCTATCGGCCTTTATTATCACTCACGGTGAAGTGATTCCCATTTGATTAACACGGCTATCACTTCACCGTGAGTGACACGTGGTCACTTCACTTCGTTTTCACCGTGAAGTGATATTCGTAATAAGGCCCATCGTAAGCCTGTTTCCTGATTAAGAACTGTTACCCAGGGTCCCTGTTTTGCTTCTATTGTCATAACAGTAGGATAAGTAGGATAACTTATCACTCACGGTGAAGTGATTCCCATTTGATTAACACGGCTATCACTTCACCGTGAGTGACACGTGGTCACTTCACTTCGTTTTCACCGTGAAGTGATATTCGTAATAAGGCCCATCGTAAGCCTGTTTCCTGATTAAGAACTGTTACCCAGGGTCCCTGTTTTGCTTCTATTGTCATAACAGTAGGATCGAATGTTGGTGTCAGCTTATTACCTTGGAGAACATTCTTCATGAGTACCAACATCAATGTTTGATGGCTTCACTTTATGTCGTGCATCTTCCCTTTCTTTCCTTTCTTCTACGAAACTTGATCCCGATCTCTATAGTCGGTAGCCGGTTCATCGATGCTTACATCTTGCAGAGAAGGTATTTCCGTTCGAATATTTCCACCAAACATGAGTTCGCTTGGGGTCTTCCCCGTGGTAATTCAAAGCCTGACTGATTTGGAGTCTTTTGACCAGTGACCGATTCTGCCGCTCGACCAAACTGTTCTCTTGTGGCCAGTATGGTGTGGTCTTGTTAAGCTATATCCCTCGACGCGTACAGTACTCTTCAAACTCGGTGCTTATAAATTGTGAGCACCAGTGTGAATGTTTGAGGATATCCAGGTCTATCGTAAATTCGTTCCAATCGCTCAGACGGCTCACTTGTAGTTATCTTCCGAAGGATTTCAATTTCTTTGTAGTGGCTGAAGTAATCGACGATCACGAATAAGTAATCTCCTGACGGCAACAGACCCAAGACATCAATAGCTACTTCCGTCCACGGCATGACAGGTAGTTTCCACCAACATTCAAAAGGTATGCCTTTCAGCAATAAAGCGAGAAAATACCGAAACATCTGTAATTTTTAGCATTACCGATCTAAGACGGTTTTTTTTTTTTACCGAACTCAGGGTCTCTGTTTGTATGTAGCCTTGACCATCTGACCACCAAATCTCCTACTTTGCCAAGCTCGTTCCGAAAGGCGTGATATGGGTTGATCTCGCTAGATGTGTGATTCTATACCCCACGATCCAGATACTCTCTCGACTGAACCAACTCCGGGTCACTGGACGAAGCAGTTTCAAGTTTGTTCAAATCAACAGCAGCCAATTCTAAAACATTGCGAACGTACACCTGCGTAAACCGTATGAAATGGTACAATTTCTGACGGTTGCAAAAGGCGTGACAAGGGGTCCTCAATGTTTGATTTAACTTTGCGATAAACAACCTTATAATCAGAGTTGGTTGAAAATGCTATCTAACATGAAGCTTTAGCGTGATAATTTATAAGCTAGAGAAAGGTCTGAAAAGGGTAGGTGGATAGTTCCGCTAGAGTACGGCAGTATGAAAATTGAATAGAAGTGGAAAATGAGCGAAGGTACTAGTCAAACACGCACTTCTTTGTCTAGCTCATACAATGTATGAGAAGATTTGAAGCATAATGATTGAATGATTGGAGCCTCAGAACCGAACGTTCAATACGGAGACACGGCGATGAATCAGGAGAAAAATCACTTCTAGACGCTTATGGTCAGTCTCTAGCGCGAATCGAATCCCAAATTGGTAGATTTGAAATCTTTCGACCGGCCACACCAACGCTAGTGTCTCTTTCTATGACTTGACATATCGGCGTATAATGACCGCCGAGATTAAAATGGTTCAATTATTTGTTGATTTAATAGGATATGTACCCAGAATTGCTGAAATCGAATGAATAAAGGAAGATTTTGGAAAATAATAACTATATTTTGTTTATTTTTGGGAATAGATACTAAATTGTTTTATGATGTGTGCCTTGTAGCGATTTAAAGGCTATAACTTTGTTTCTTCCATTATGCTGAATAAAACAGTCGAACAAGAGCTGTGTGGACACCATTATAAAGCTTCTAATCAACGATATTGATGTCCCAACAAACAATTGAGAGCTCTTATAAAACACCTGAGTTGATCAAACGTTGAATAATAGCTTCCAGAGTTGAACAAGAATGTAGTTGTATTGCCTTTTTGGTTAGAAGCTTCAAAAGCTGCTTGGAGCACTCTTAAATGATTGTTTACGTTCGGTTTACCTATATGCTTTATAAGACCTACGATAACTTTTATAGCACCTTAGTTAAACCGATTGACAAGAGGTATATAGAACGTGGAATAAACGCATCAAAACAAACCATTGGGAGCTCTTATAGAACACCTGAGTTGATCAAACGTTGTATAAGAGCTTTCACCAAAACAATAAAGCTGACTTTAAATATGTATCTATAAACGTTGTATAAAAGTTTCTTCTATCCGGTTATTAAGGAGTCATTGAAAAGTGTTATAAACGCTTTTTACCGCTTGCTGTTCAATTAATATTTAGGAGTCATAAAAGAGTGCAACAAACGCCTCTCAGGTTTACTCTCTACTAAATTTCAAAGCAGCTGTAAAGAAGTGTCTACAAACGTTGTATAAGAGCTTTCACCAAAATAATAAAGCTTGAGTTTAAATATGCATCTATAAACGTTGTATAAAAGTTGCTTCTATCCGGTTATTTAGGAGTCATTGAAAAGTGCTATAAACGCTTTTCACCGCTTGCTGTATAGTGATTATTTAGGAGTCATAAAAGAGTGTAACAAACGCCTCTCAGGTTCAATCTCTAATACATTTCGAAGCAGCTGTTAGGAGGTGTCTACAAACGTTGTATAAGAGCTTTCACCAAAACAATAAAGCTTGAGTTTAAATATGTATCTATAAACGTTGTATAAAAGTTGCTTCTATCCGGTTGTTAAGGAGTCATTGAAAAGTGCTATAAACGCTTTTCACCGCTTGCTGTACAATGATTATTTAGGAGTCATAAAAGAGTGCAACAAACGCCTCTCAGGTTTACTCTCTATTAAATTTCAAAGCAGCTGTCAAGAAGTGTCTACAAACGTTGTATAAGAGCTTTCACCAAAATAATAAAGCTTGAGTTTAAATATGTATCTATAAACGTAGTATAAAAGTTGCTTCTACTCCTATACCGCGTATACATATAATGCTGTAGTTGAACAGGTTCTCCAAACCAGTGTAAACAAGAGTTTTACAGAAGTTGTAATAAACAAATTGTACAGTTATTATTCAGCATGCAGTTGAATAAAATCACAATGGAAGCGTTTCTTCAACAAGAAATTGACGTTTTACTGAATACGTTAGACAACACCTTTGCGTTGCAGTTGTATAGGTTCTCCAAACCAGTGTAAACAAGGGTTTTATAAAAGTTGTGGTGAACACATTGTGCAATTATTATTCAACATGCAGCTGAACAAAATCAAAACGAAAGCGTTTCTTCAACTGGAAATTGTTACTTGGGGTAGAACGACATGTGGTATTTCCGTATCAGTTTTGAGTGTTGGTGTTGGTGTACAGAGGTTATATAAACCATACAATGACAAGCGTATGCAACGAAGAGGGCCAATCAGCAGTGAAGTTTAATAAAGGCTGAACCAGCTTAACATAGTTGAAATGATGTTGCTTCGATGTTGAACTGTCGAATAAATACATTTCAAAATACTCTATTCAACGCTCATCAGTTTAATTTTTAGTTGAATAGATTCTCCAGATTCGTGTGAACAAAGCTTGAAAAAAAGTGGTTGCAAAAAATAGTGCAGCTATTATTCAGTATGCAACTTAATAAAATTATCATGAAGGCGTTTCTACAATAGAAATTGTTTCTTGCGTATAGCCATAGAGGACACTCTAAGACTTGTAGGTCCAGAAGAAAAGTGCTCAACTTTTTGGCTCAGCTCTGGTACTATCTTCGGTCCCAAGCTAATCGATGCACCCCTCGAAACATAGGAAAATCCACGAACCCCTCATTTTATCTGTCAAACTGGCATGGAAAATCAAAACAATCATTGTGTAGTACTAGAATTTCGAATAGAATCGGGTACGTTAATCGATATGCTTGGGACCAATAGGCTAGTCAAGTAGTGAGCCAATTTAAAATCGATAGTTTCGTATTGATTGTTGGTATAGCCATCTGTAAGTACACTATGATGGGCAGTGCGCTCAACAGAATGAATCCAACAGTTTCTGCAGGTAGATACAGTCCTCAATAAATATTGCTTAACCATAAAAATATTCAAATTTAATCTATCTTTCTACTAATATTTGTGAGTATATGGAGTCTCCATACACAACTTTAGGAACCTAACGCTGCTAATGTACCGTAACTATAGGAGCGTTTACCTACCGTTTTTTAGTAGCTTCCTAAAGGCAATGGCCCTTATTAACGATGTCACTTCACGGTGAAGTGACAACTTATCACTCACGGTGAAGTGACAACTTATCACTCACGGTGAAGTGACAACTTATCACTCACGGTGAAGTGATTCCCATTTGATTTACACGCCAATCACTTCACCGAGAGTGACAACTGGTCACTTCTCTTCGTTTTCACCGTGAAGTGACAGCCGTAATTAGGCCCAATACTTGGGCCCACTGCCTCATTTCTGTGTTATTTTCTCACCAACAAACTATTGGTCGTATGTGCCAACCGATCAAAATCATAGCTCTATGTTACATACGATACCTAACTTCTATCGGGGTGTCAATCGTCGTATGTAACAAATTTGACAGAAGCGTATAAACTGTACATACTTCCGATGGTGTTTTTTTCCTAATGAAATTGAAAATTTTGCAAATATTCAATGTAAAACAGTTGTGGGTAGTCCATAAAATGATACCTACGCTTTCCGTGCGATATTACTCATTATAATACATTTTAAAGCCACTAAAATGCGCATGGTCGAAAGTAACACCACGACATGCAAAAGGTCGTATCATATATTGGTGAAAAAAACGTTTCTTTTTCAACAAGAACGCTATCAAAACCTTGGTCTATGGCAGCGCTACTGAGATGTTAGTTTATGGGAATTGTGAAAGAATTATCTATCTCATTTGAAATAGAAACCATTTTTTGTTCATCGAAAACAAAAAACACCTCGTTTCTCTAATTGGCAAACATGTTACATACGACCCAATCTAAAAGGACTCCACCTTTCTTCGAATGACAATGCCTTTTTTCCACGATAGAAAGATTCCCTGACCCTGCTAGCCTCGAGTAAGCCACGAGTATTTGGCCCAACTTTTACTAGACATAAACATAAGTGAATTGTGTTACATTCGCAATTAGCACTTCAAAGGATTCATAACAAAGTTCTGAAGATGATTTTGAAGGTGCTCCCCTGGTACAGTACTGCATAGAGACTTTAGAACAAATGTCCAAGAAAATAGTTAATAACTTCAGGCAAAACTCGTTGCAATCCTCAATTGCAACAATTTACTCCTTTTATATTAAGAAAAGATTTAGTTTTAGTTTTTAATTTCAAGATGTCAATTGTAACACTGACATCCACTACACGAAACGAAATTCAATTATTTTATTCATGTGTTTCACTTATACATTTTTGCCAAAACATCAGCCTTATACATTCCATAAGACAAACCACATAGGTCCTATAAGTAATGCATAAATGGTATGTGTGACCGCTTATACATTTCATTTGACGCATGATCTTCATTAACTTTTTGCTTATTAGTTGACTTATACATTTTATGAATAATCAACAATACAAATTTGCCAAAAGGTATAAGAAGATTTCTATCCGTGGAGGACATGTAGGTATATAAAACCCGTTTAAAATACTGAATTGCCAAGGCAGGATCAATGTAAACGCACCTAGATATATATCACAACAATTAAGGTTGGTAAGTTTCTGTAGTAGCCGCTCCACCTGGGTTAAAATGAAATGTAATTGAATTTCAATTTGGAACAAATAAATAGTTAATAAAAAAAGTGGAAGAAGCATGCTCAAGCTAGCATTTTAAAATCAGTTACACTCGGACCACGTGGCATTGAAGATACGTTGCTTTACTTACTATTAAAGCACCTTCAGTAAGGGCTTAACCCACCATGCATTTACATATTTTGTTTTCACTTTACTCACCCCTTATTCTCAATCTCATGTCAACAGATCGTCTCACACGCTCACCATTCGGAAACGTCAAAAAGTTATTATCAATAAACACATACAACGCCGCCATAAATAATGTGCCTGCCCTGTGTGTGGTAGTGCAAGAAGGAATGAAACCCCATAATCCTCCAAAAGTCAAATAACATTCGCTGAGACAAGACGGAATTTGTTCGTAGAGCGTAGATTTTCCCAACTTTTGGGCATGATTTTTGGTGAAATTGGTGCAATTCAATCGTTGATCTAGTGAACAGCTAGTGTAGTACCTGGAAGAGGTGAAATTGTACCGATTCCGTCGAACAGCAATCGGTTTCGAACGGATCGAATTTCTCTTCCGATCAGGAAAATAAGCAAGGGTGTGCGCAGGAGGAAAGAATCGAAGGCTACCGTAGAAGAAGCAGCAACAGCAAGATGAAGAAGAAGGTATGTTACTGATAATACTGTAATGTTTTTCTTTGCTGTCGGCCCGCCACAGATGCAGATGGGTGCGGGAACCATTGTCTGATTCATCTGGTGTGGAATGCAGCTACTAGAAGAGCAATGTAACGATAACACTACCGTTCGATGCATTTTAGGTGCTGCTGATGGGCAAAAGTGGCTCTGGCAAGACCAGTATGCGCTCTATTATATTTGCCAACTACATTGCTAGGGACACAAGGAGACTTGGAGCGACAAGTAAGTGGAAAGATAATGACGAAAGGGGATGTTGGTGTGAAGTGGATTTAGGTTGAAAAAGAAGGAATAAGCATGTTCGTTACTGGAGCGTTATGTCAATTCTACTAGTGTGATCCGGATTCCTCAATAGAACAAAGTAAAAAAAGCACATTGATAATGTTGGGTGTGGAATCAACGTGAACAGTAGCCCAGTCTTCGAAAAATTTAAAAACACGATCGAGTCGACTAAATTTGGTCTGAAGTGGATTTACTCAAGAGTGAGCTGAATTTTCCGAGCAAAAGTCGTGGGAAATTTCTCTAATATGAGGAAAATCTATGAAAATTTTACTTAGTCTTGGATTATACTTATAGACTGAGTAAAATTTTTATCGGTTTTTCTCATACATATTCGAGACATAAGCTATTCCTAGAAAAGCCCGAAAAATTCGACACAACTTTGAGTCGGTCTGATCGACCGTGTATGGAATTTTTTAACTTGCATTGGAATGTCCTCAATGCTTTTCTTCTTCCAGATCTTGCGTTAGGAACATCATCGAATCACAGAACTGACGCCTTCGAAAGTTGCCCTCAATGTACAATTCTCGCGTCACCTTTCAAATAGACCAATCTACATTGATTCATTCTCTGATTGATCGATTCTCTTCATCGACTCTCTCTTTCGTTAATAACTTGGCTGCATTCATATTTCGGGCTAATTTTTCTACATAGTCTGTTAACAGAAAGTATTGTTAAGCGTATTGGACGATAAGAACAGCTGAACATGTTTTTGGAGCCGGGTTATTAACGAAAGAGAAAGTCGATAAAGAGAATCGATCAATGTAGATTGGTCTATTTGAAAAGTAAGACGAGAAATTAGGTTTGTAATCACTTACCGTAAAGTGCCATAATTCTGCGCAACTAAGGCCTAATTCTGCACAGTTTTAAAAGTTTCCAATATAATTATAAATTGTAGATGATTTGAATTGAATTGAACATATATGTATGCATTGTTCACTTGTGTATGGGACAAATATAAATTTAGATAAAATCGCAATATAATGCAACGTTTTGGCTAAATACGTGGAATCAGGCGCTGCGCAGAATTATGCCACTTAACGGTAGTCTGTTTGCCGAATTTCGGTAATTGGGTTCTTTAAGGGTATTGAGGTTAATGCATATTCGTAATCTGCATTAAAAATGGAACCCAAACCCTAAATTTCATCAATTTTGAAACCCTAGAACTATTTTAAATAAGAACGATTACATTCGCAAAAATCACCTCATTAGCGCCCCTCGGTGTCACTTTGTAAGGGAGCGAGCTGTCAGTTTGTCAGTTTAGTGTCAAACAGTGAAGTTATTATTTTGCTTCAAATCTTGATTTAAAAATCGAGATGAAAGTGTGTAGGTTCGAAAAAAACATCGCTGTGCTCAGAAAACGAAGCTCTTTCAGATGATATATAAAAACCGATATATTTTTCAAAATTAAAGAACCCAATTTTGACGTTTCCTTGCTGAGAGATTCAGTGAAACATTTTTCGAGATCTCTCGCGTCACTTTTCAAATAGACCAATATACATCGATTGGTTCTCTCCATCGATTCTCTCTTTCGTTAATAACTCGGCTCCAAAAACATTATCAGCTGTTCTTATCGTCCAATACGCTTAATAACAGACTATGTAGAAAAATTTGCCCTAAATATGAATGAGATTCTCATGTCGTTTTCATTTTTGCGATGTGCTACACCACCGTACACCGAAATAATTTAGGGTGTAGATATCGGATGTACCTTTGTTTACAAATAAATGATGATGAGTCAATGACTCGTGCTTATTACTGCTTACACTAGTGACCTGTGCACGGGTGAACATCTACTGAAAAAAACTTACACTACAGCGGTGCCCTGTTTACTAAAAATGAACACGTGAATAATGCTCGCGTAACATTAAATAATGGCCTATTAACTTTTGTACACGTAACATGTTAGGCCCTTTTCGCGCGAACCTAGTAAAATGGTCACACGGAGTATCGGAATAGGCTGAAGGGATGTGCGATGCTTGGTACATTTTTCCTATATTCAGGACCAGAAATGTCAATGAAATGCAATATAAATTAAAAGAATAGAATTGTTGATCCCCAATTTCACCGATTCAGTTAATGTACGGGATTTAAACTGCAGCGTTCGCTATTGTTTTCGACACTAACCAAAGAGGAAGATGAGACAATAGGGGGCCTTTTATGAACCAATTTTCTGAGAAACGCGAACCAGCGCCTGATTGGGCGGCGAACGTATAGAAACGCGAGAATTTTTACAACAGGGAATCTATTTTCTTGTATTTTGACAGTCGACTGCGTCGCCCATAATGAAATAGTTTTTACACGGTCGATTTTGCGAGAGAAGAAGAACACGTCACAGACAAAAAGAAGCCAGTTGGCTCCTCCTCTTAGCATTTACTGAAAGCTTGACCACAGACTAACATACATAACACTCGCAAGTTGTTCATTACAGCATTTAACGGACGGATTTAACGGACAATATAAAAGTATCGTAGTTGGTAGTACCGCCACCTGTGGCGCGTATAGCCAATTCCCTTGCGTTTGACGTTTACATACTACTGCCATCTGTTCAGCTAAGTGTCCACCACAGTATGCTCAACAGATAGTGGTAATGTTTTAGCGACGAATGGAATCTTTAAGTCCGATCAATGAACATCTGGAAGATTTAGGCTGTGAACCATTTGGCGAGTTAAATTTAACTCGTGGTTAAAAGTGACATTTCGAAAGTTATTTTCTATGTTCGAAAATCCCCGTGCTGTCGATCGACCGGTTTTCGAGCCACGGTTGTCAAAATTTAACTTCTTGTCTGTCAGAAATAACCATGCTCGGATAGCAGGGTTCACGATAACTTTCTATCTGTCAAATTTTAACCAAAAGTTAAAATAATCCACCAAATGGTTCAGAGCCTTAGGGAGTTCTAGAGAAGTTCCGACAACTTAGGCTCTGAACCATTTGGTGGATTATTTTAACTTTTGGTTAAAATTTGACAGATAGAAAGTTATTGAGTAACCCTGCTATCCGAGCGTGGTTATTTCTGACAGACAAGAAGTTAAATTTTGACAACCGTGGCTGAGTTCTGCTCGAAAACCGATCGATCGGTAACACAGGGATTTTCGAACATAAGAAATAACTTTCGAAGTGTCACTTTTAACCACGAGTTAAATTTAACTCGGCAAATGGTTCACAGCCTTAAGGAAAATTCTCTTTAGGGAAACGTCAAACTACAGAAAAACAGTCATAACACATTGAATATTTCTCACCGTAAAACATCGGGAATAACTTCACCGTGATGACAAGTGACAAGTTTTCACCTTGATGTGACATCCCTAATAAGCCCCTATGGCAGTGAGGGTTTAGACTTAAAGGAATTACCGAAGGTTGGCTTTCCCTCTTATGACTTGGAAATTATTCTTTATTGCAAATCAGACTTTCAACTTGATTTTGGCCTACTGAATTAAGCCTAATCATATTCGTCCTTTTGATTTGTATTTTATGATTCATTCTCCTAGTGGAATTCATCGGTTCCGGGAATCTCATCAATTTCCAAATAAAAAAAGGCAATCACAAAAAAGGCGTGACTTCAAAGTTTATTGATCAACTATTGAAGCGATTTAAAACAGCGGAATTTCCGTCAGCAAAATGACATTTAAAAAGTACAAAACCCAAACGAACGCGTATAGAACCGATAGGACCAGTACAGCTGGCACAACCACCACCAGTAGCAGAATATTTTCCAAGCTCACCTTTCCGGGTTCCGGCTTTGCCCACTGCTTCCCAAAGACCGTCCTGTGTTCACCTTCCGTCGTCCCCATTGTGGCTAGAAAGTTGTTCCACAGGTAGTTTCCGGCCCGTTCGATCCATACCTTCAGCACATGAAGCAACTTGACGGTCTGCTTCAGAACCAGCTCGGTGAAAACGAATCCAAATGCCACCGAAATGATCGTCACCAGGTTCCAGTAAAAGTTGCCGCAAAGTTTGTTCACCCGAGAATTGGACACCGAACTTTTTACGGACGGAGAACTGGCTGGATCCGGTGGCATTAGAGTTGTGTTTGGGGTTTCCGGTTCCTTGGGATTGATGTTTTTCTTCGATTCTGTGGGAGTGTTGGGAGAAGCGACTTTATCAGACTGGATCAGATCCATCAATCGGTTCAGCTTTTGGTTTCTTCTGGTTACATCTCCGCTGTAAGTTCCTGGTATTCTTTTGGCCGGTGTCATTCGAGTGGCGGCCGCCGAATTCCTCCGGTTGAAAATCTCTTCCAATTCGGTGTTTCGGGAACCACCCTTCAGCGATTGACTGTCGTCGATACGGTCCGGGGATGTTTGCGGCCGAAGCTTGGTGAAGATTAGCTTATTGTTTCGGCAGCGCTCGTACAGCGAATCCATTTCGCTGTTCTGTGTGACAATGGCAAAAATCTGCTCTTTCCGAATGCGATTGGTTTACTTGGATTGAGTGTAGTCTAATTCGATCTTCCTTTTTTCTTTTGTCTTTTTCCAGTCGATGTCGAGCATTCGCACGTGCGCTTCTTGGGCAACCTGGTGCTCAACCTGTGGGACTGCGGCGGACAGGAATCGTTTATGGAACAGTACTTTGCTTCACAGAAGGACAACATCTTCCGCAATGTGGAGGTTCTCATCTACGTGTTCGACGTGGAAAGTCGCGAACTGGACAAGGACATGCACTACTACCAGTCCTGTCTGGAGGCGATCCTCCAGAATTCTCCGGATGCCAAGATTTTCTGTTTGGTACACAAAATGGATCTGGTTGCCGAAGAGCAACGTGATATTATCTTTAAGGAGCGCGAAGAGGACCTGAAGAGGCTATCGAAGCCACTCGAATGCACCGCCTTTCGGACGAGCATTTGGGACGAAACGCTGTACAGGGCATGGAGTAGTATCGTGTATCAGCTGATTCCGAACGTGAAAGCCCTAGAGCACTCGTTAAATTATTTCGCCAACGTGGTTGATGCAGACGAAGTGCTACTGTTCGAGCGAGCCACGTTCCTGGTCATTTCACACTGTCAACGAAAGCAACACAGGGATAGCCATCGGTTTGAGAAAGTGTCTAACATTATCAAACAATTCAAACTTTCCTGCTCGAAGCTAGGGGCAAAGTTTTCCTCAATGGAAGTACGGAATAGCATATTTGCGGCCTTCATCGATACGTTCACCAGCAATACGTACGTCATGGTGATCATGTCGGATCCATCTATCCCATCGGAAGCCACACTGATCAACATACGGAATGCAAGGAAATATTTCGAAGAGTTGGAGAATCCGAACAGCATGAACGCCGCCAATGCCATCCACTCTGCCCATGGAGCTCGCGGAATGGTAAACGGTGGTTCTTCCAACTACTACAGCCATCACCAGCATCAGCATCAACAATTGCAACAACAGTTCCTCCAACAGCAACAGCAGCAACAGCAATACCCCAACGTCAACAACCCGTATCACTGATATTTGATCAAGAAAAAGTACTTTTATTTCAAATAACCCTTCCGTGTTGCTGTTAGGTTATCTTTGATTGCGGCACTGTGAATATAAAATTTCTTCCCCAAATCTTCTCCTCACGGACAGACAAGTATAATTCTAATCGCCTTACCTATAATAGCTGTTATAAATTGAATCAAACCTCAGTCTGTTTGGACTCAAAAGAGAGATCGGATTTCTTTTTCTTAGTTTATCAAATTGTTATGTTTTAGTGACTAGGTAAAAGTCTAACAAAGAATCAAATCAAATTATCATTATATCCAGTCAATGGAGCCCCCTTTCTTTTTTTTTAGCGAAAACGGGGCGGCTCTCAGAGCTACAAAGTGGCCATGTTGCTTGTAACGAATTCCCTTTTTCTGCTTTTTATTCTGTTAAGAAATATGTTTTATCAAACTGTCACTAAACTGTGACGAACGTTATCAACGACAAGTGAACCAATAGAAGAACAAACAACAAAACCAACTAACTTGTAGGATCAAAATAACCATTGCTGTAAAAAGTCAAATAAAGTCATGATTGTATGACAATGTAATGAGCTGACAAGATCGAGATTACTAAAATGACGGAAATAAAAATTTCTTTTATACTGAAAGGTTTGAATTGTGTTTCTTTTCCACCAGTAGGTACCATACCACAGACAAACAGACGTAACACTTCATTTTGTATCTTCGATCACGCATTTAACGATTGATTTGAATATTATCAGTTCCGCGAAATTCTCGCCGCAGCGCACTTTGACGTTTCTATATATTCTATAGAACTTTTATGCCATATTGTTTGCAAGTTAGCGAGCAAGCTTATTTTCTGTGAGAAACCCAAGAGATTTCGTTACTGAGGTCCTATGTTTTGAGATACTATGTTTACAAGAAACACTATTTCAAAGAGTTACGTCTGTTTGGCTGTGACCATACTATTGGTTTATAGGTGAGCATTTCCTCGTCAACTGACCAAATGATCATATTTTACCCTCTCCGATTTCCATGCTGCTTTGTATAATTGTTCACAGTGGACAATAGGGTGGTTCAAAATATCGATTTTGCTTCACCAATCTCAATCGATTCTAAATCAATTCCAGGTCAAATAGGAAAAAAAAAAAAAAATTAAGGCTCGACCGTCTCAGATTTGCATGCTCAGCTCGACATTTTATTTTACTGGATCTCAGTGAAAAACTTGCCGAGATTCAGCTAACAAACGGGAATTCTGCCGAGATCTCAGCTAACAAACAGAAGTTTTGCCAGTTTTTTACTGAGATCCAGCAAAACAAAAATGCCGAGCTGCTATATGGTGCTCATCTCGGTAAAAAAAAAACAAAGTGTGTGCAACTTTGCAGTAGGCCGGAATTTATTTGAATGTCAGGATAGTTCGATATTAATTAAATGAGAGATAATATCCTTCTTACTTGCTCCATAAACTGCTCAGCAGGCAACAAATCCAGGCATAAGTGGAAGATACAGTCCTGAAAGCAGTCGATTAATCATATCAGAAAGTTATTGGCTTCGAAATCAATTAATAACTTACTACCTTACTAATTATTCTAATCAACAAGTGGTCTTCAGAACAATTGAAGCTGATAAAATTTCACTCTAGAGCAGATATCAAACTTTTCCGTAAATCATGGCAAAGATCTAGGACGTTGAGAATGAAAAGTTCACTTTTCCATTGTAATTCCAATTCCCAGTTCAGTGCAGTATGAGCTCGTATCCAAATAAAATCAAATTTTGGGGGAATAATCCAGAAACTGATTTAGAATCGATATTTTTACCCTTCTTACCAAGAATAGCATACACTGCCGTTCTTCGAATGTCCGTTCCATAGCGAAAAAAAGGAAATCGAGAAAATTTGCGTTCTAAGTTTGCTTCGTTCCATTGCTTTGCTGATGAGATAACCAATTTGACTGTCTTTCCAAACTTTTTCAGAACAAAGTTGTATTATTAAAAAATGGGTAATTAGCTACCATTTGCATTGAACTCAGTTTTGATAATAACGACTATGGGACCGACATACGGAGAACGGCAGTACACATAGACTAATACCAACAATCAATACGATACTAACGATTTAAAATTGGCTCACTACTTGACTAGCCCATTGGTCCCTAGCAAATCGATTTACGTATCCCATTCTAGTATAAATTCCAGTACTACGCTATGTTGGTTTTGACATAGAGGTAACTCTAATGTGGACCGTACACGATTGCTTTTATTGACAATAATCGTATTGTCAATACATTTTATATTGACGTCAATACATCGGTATTGACAATATTTCTGTATTCTGATCATCAATATTATTGTCAATACTTGTAAGTATTGACAATATTTCTTACCGTGTGGGGTTCACTTAAGACCAGAAGGTCCCGAAGAAACGAGCTCAACTTTTTGGCTCAGCTCTGGTACTATCTTCGGTCCCAAGCTAATCGATGCACGCCTCGAAACATAGAAAAATCCACGAACCCCTCATTTTATCTGTCAAACTTTCATAGCGAATCAAAACAAACATAGTGGAGCAATGGAATGTATACTAGAATGGGGCACGTTAATCGATTTGCTTGGGATCAATGGGCTAGTCAAGTAGTGAGCCCATTTAAAATCGTTAGTTTCGTATTGATTGTTGTTAATACCATAGAGGCAACTCTAAGACCAGAAGGTCCTGAAGAATCGTGCTCAACTTTTTGGCACAGCTGTGGTACTCTCTTCGGTCCCAAGGTAATCGATGTACCCCTCGAAACATAGGAAAATCCACGAACCCCTCATTTTAGCTGTCAAACTTTCAAAGCGATTCAAAACAAACATAGTGTAATACTAGAATTTCGACTAGAATGGGGTACGTTAATCGATTAGCTTGGTACCAATAGGCTAGTCAAGTAGTGAGCCAATTAAAAATCGTTTGTTTCCAGCGATTGATATTACTTACTCTGGCCAAAAGGGAAGTTACCCAGAAATGGATAATCATGTTCACTGAGGTATTCACGGGAGATACGTACCCTGTAAAAAAAACATGTAAAAAAAATCTACGAGATTTTGATTTTTCACATGTTTAAATATTTAAAAAAAATCGGATTTTGATGCCATTTGTAATTATAGCATGCTATGGTTCATATAGACATATTTTAAAAATTTCTGTATTTACACCAAAAAATTGTGATTTTTTAAAAGTATGCCATTCGATTGTCTATAGCTTGAAACGGATAATGTGATTGGAATCAAGACGATAGACTGTATCGTCAACAATCAATTCGAAAGTAACGATTTTAAATTGGCTCACTACTTGACTAGCCTATTGGTCCCAAGCAAATCGATTAACGTATCCCATTCTAGTATACATTCCAGTACTACACTATGTTTGTTTTGTTCTCTATGAAAGTTTGACAGATTAAATGAGGGGTTCGTGGATTTTCCTATGTTTCGAGGGGTGCATCGATTAGCTTGGGACCGAAGATAGTACTAGAGCTGAGCCAAAAAGTTGAGCTCGTTTCTTCGGGACCTTCTGGTCTTAGAGTTACCTCTATGGTATCGTTGTCGATTTTTTTTTTTCCTTTGGTTTGTTTTTTCCGTCGATCTTGTTTTCCGTGCTGAGCACCAATGCTACCGACGTGCCAGGAAGGCAGCTCCCACACCTGGACCCTACCTATCGACCCATCAACTCATGAACCGGGGACCAACGGCTTTACTTCCCATCCGAAGGAAGGCGTGATCAGAGATGTTATGCCTCAGAACATCCCGGCGGCGCCGACTGGTATTGAACCCAGGCCTGCTGGGGTGAGAGGTAATCACGCTTAACACTACACCACCGGCACCGTTAGAGAAATCGTTAAAAACGTACCGTGTAAATCGTGAAAAAGTAGGCACGATTCCCTGCCATAATGCTTCTTTAAATTTCTCTGCTGGTATCATTTTTGGCGGTCACCAGTGAGCCCAAATGCATGAACTCATCGACCACCTCGATTTCGTCACCGTCAATATGAGCTCGGGCTGGGAGGCTAACCACCGACAAACCGACATGAATGACCATAGCAAAAACAATAAAATTTCTGACCAAAGTACACTACTGACATCTGGCTCCGTGTTCGCGGGAAATATTTAGCTAAGCCATGAACCCGCATGCAAAAGTTATGAATTGGTTGGTGTTTGATCTATTCTGGACAAATTAGTTTTATCTGCATCAAAAAATCCTATGGTTTTGACAGTTCGGATCACTGGACATTTAAATCGACCGTTTACGATTTTCGGGCATAAGTCAGAATTAAGTGTCATGTTGGTTTGTCGGTGGGCTAACATTGTCTTCTCTAGAACCTCTTCCTTTCATGTATTTTGTCTTTGATGCGTTGATGGCAAGTCCAATCCGCCTAGCTTCAGCCTTCAGTCTGATGTACGTCTCCGCCATCGTCTCAAAGTTCCGTGCCATAATGTCAATGTCATCGGTGAAGCCAAGAAGTTGGATGAACTTCCTGGAGATTGGCCTCTCGTGTCTATCCCTGCTCTTCTGATCACACCTTCTAACGCGATGTTGAATAGCAGACACGAAAGTCCATCACCTTGCCGTAACCCCCTTCGAGATTCAAAGGGACTCGAGAGTGTCCCCGATACTCGAACAACGCACATCACTCGATCCATCGTCGCCTTGTCGACCAATCGCGCCAGTTTATCTGGAAATCCGTACCGGTGAATAATCTGCCATAGCTGATCTCGATCGATTGTGTCATATGCGGATTTGAAATCGATTAACAAATGATGTGTGGGCACGTTGTATTCGCGGCATTTTTGCAGAACCTGCCGAATCGCAAAAATTTGGTCCATGGTAGCGCGGGCACCCATGAATCCCGCCTGGTATTGCCCCACGAACTCTCTTGCAAATGGTGACAGGCGGCGGCATAGAATTTGGGAGAATACCTTGTAGGCGGCGCTCAGCAGTGTGATCGCGCGGTAGTTGCAGCAATCCAACTTGTCGCTCTTTTTGTAGATTGGGCATACGACACCTTCCATCCACTCCTCCGGTAATATCTCCTCCGAGGGGAGCGACACATCTAAATCTCAATTCTAGATGCTCAAAAAATCTCACACTAGCGAATAAATCTTCGAAAAATCTTCTTTCATTTCTCGCATCTACTTGCATCGCGCATCATCTTTTTACAGGAAATCTTCAAAATCGTGATAAATATTCTTTCTATCTACTCAGCGTACGCGCAGCTAGCCACAGCAAAACACAATATTTCCTGCATCGTAGATAGAGTCCTCGATCTCACTTGCTAGTTGATCTACACCAGTTGCTTTGTTGTTCTTCAGCCAACCGATCTCCTCCTCAACTTCTTGAAGATCAGGGGCTGGTAGCCTGTCGTCTTCTGTGCGTGCTCCAAGGTCTGTTGCCGTGCCACCTTCGTTTTCTGCTGTTTCACCGTTGAGGTTCTCGTCATACTTTTCATACCTTGTACCTCTCAATCACCTCACATTCGTTCGTGAGAAGGTTACCGTCCAAGTCCTTGCACACATCGGCTTGCGGCACGTAGCCTTTGCGCGAACTATTTAGCTTCTCATAGAACTTCCGTGTGTCGATTACGCGGTACAGATTTTCAGATTTACAGATCTCGGTCTTCCT